CCCCCCCAGCAATTTAGAGAGACACTCTCTCTAAATAAAATATAAAAAATGGCTGGGGATGTGACTCAGTGGTTAAGCACCCCTGGGTTCAATCCCTGATTATGCCCACCCCCCCCAAATTAAGTCATTAAAAATAACAACAAATTTTTACATTTTAACAAATAACCTTTTTTTAAGTGAAAAATAGCCATATTTTCTGACCAAAAAAAGAAAAAGGTGGCATTGCTTTATATTTTTGTAAATCTCATTAATGTCTGGTTTGTGAAAGACAGTTGGTTCTCATATCAGCTTTTGCATTCAATCTGTTGAGATATGTTATTTTGGTTCAAATATATGGAAAAAAGATGACTTCATAAAGATGAGTAGTTGGGAAAGGGAGGGCCTAAAAGAGTTCTTGAGAAGGTCTTGGGCATCCCCCAGGCCTTGGTGGAGACACCACAAGAGCGGTTGCTTTTGATGAATGCCCTGGAAGCTTATGCAGAGGACAGGCAGCTAATTCTGAAGCCCAGTGAGGGCGAATGAGAAGGAGGCTTAAGAACAGGACAGGAAGCAGGGAGACTATTACAGTGTCCAGGCAAGAACCCTGGCAGCCCTTCTCCAAGGCAGAGACAGTGGGGACACAGAGACTTGAATGGATTCACACGTTGGCATCAATGGGAACGGACGTCCAGATGCACCCGAGATGGGGCAGAAAGCAAGTCCAGATGACTTTGGGTTTGGGTGGGGATGTTGAGAAATCTGGGTGAATAATGATGACATAAGGGTACAGATAAAGTGTAAGAAGACCATTTCTTGAGAGTAGCTGGCCAAAGAAGATAGGAGTCAGCCCAGGATGAAAAATGATCTGAAGATTCTAGACCCATGGCTCACTCAGGGACATCCAGACCAATAGAAGCTGGGAAGCCTGCCTGTTTACACCTAGGAGAGTCTGAGAGAGACAGGTAATACGGTGCATGTGCATGCGTGTGCACATGTGTGCATAATCTTTATTTCTACTTATTTATTTTTATATGGTGCTGAGGATCAAACCCAGGGCCTTGCATGCACCCGGCGAGTGCTCTACCCCTGAGCCACAACCCCAGCCCCCCACCCAGTGCATAATCTAAGACTGAGACAGACCCATGCCCCAGTAGAGAAAAGGGAGTATATGTTCCCTTCCCAATTCTACAAGTAAGGAACAGAAATTCACATCGGGAATCTCTTTAGCTTCCTCCTCCCCTCCCCCACCTGAAAGACATGGACCTGCAGGCAGTTCTCTGGGTTGAGCGAAGGGTTATTTTGTGTGGTCAGCAGGGATCAGTATATGCAGAGGATGCAGGAAGGAGCAAATAGAATGCACTAGTAATAACACAGAGCATGGCTTCAGAAATTCTAATGTGTGTGGGTGTATTACACCGACTTAAGTTACCAAATATAATTACTTCTTAATTTCAAGTATTCAACCAACTCTGATTTCAATGGATGTTGGCATACAAAAACTTAATATTTTCACAAACTCACAATAATTGCCTTAGTCCTGAACAATGAATCAATGCAAACAAGTTTCCAGTATGCAGAACTCAGGCTAAGACCAGGCTGCTAATTCATGACTCAGTGCTACCCCAGCAACGTCACATTCTTAAGGGCTCGTGATGATGCTCCTTGCTTTCCATTACACAATGCATCTTTATGTGATGTGGCTTGGGAAAGGTGGCCTTGACAATGGGGTCTCTGTTGAATGGGGTCAGTGACGATTAATTCCCTACTTGCCTTATAAGGTTGTTGTGATGATCAAATTTTGGAAAAATGCTTTGCAAACCAGAAGATCCCATATAAATGCACAATAGAGGTTGCCTTCCTCTCTTCCAGAGAGGAAGGCCAACAAGGGAACTGGCATCCATCGTGGGTCTTCTACTTGCCATGCATTCAGTCAGGGTGGGGCCGTCATATCTCACTTCTCTTTGGGGGTTCACTGACGTTCACTTAACCTAGGGTAAGTGACACAGAGTGGTAGGGAGAGGATATGAACTCTGGTCTCCCTGTTCAAAAACCTAGGAATTCCTTCCACTAGCTTCACACCTAAGTGATTACCTAGGTCTTAGAAAGAAAAAATGAGGAGTTTTACATAACCGTGAAGGCTCCCATTACCATGCCCAACCTCAGATTTTCATTTGTTCCAAGGTATCATAAAAAACATGCTCAGCTTCCCCAGAGGGCTCACGCTGGCAGGATGAAAATGCTCAGTTCTGTGCTGTGGAGTGCAGCCCAAGAAATAAAAGGCAGAGATAGTTTTAATAAGTGGTTAAGTGTTTTTTTGTTGTTGTTGCTGTTGCTGCTGGAGATTGAACCCAATAAAAGTAAAATATTAAAATCTCAATTGACCCTATTTGCCAAAGACTGCACCTCTCAACCCCCATCAGTCTCACAGGCTGCTGTGAGTGACACAGTGACTGCTGATTGTGACACAGTGATCCAGAGAGAAGCTGGGATTTTTCAGCCTCACGTGACATCACTGGCAAGCTGCAAACTTGCTCAGAGGTTGGAACTTTGGAGAGCAAGTGAATGAGAATGAATTACAGTGACATAGGTCATTAGGTATAGCCCTCATGACTGAATCTTAGCTTTGTAAGTAGATGGGGAGAGATCACACAGACATACACACACATATGCATGCTCCCTGTCTCTGGCCATGTAATGCTCTGTGAATCCCTGGAGCTTTGCCAACATGAAGGCCATGATGTGGCTGGAAACCTTATACCTCCAGAACCATGAGACAAAATAACAAACCTCTTTTCTTTATAAAGTTAGTCTGCCTCAAGTATTTCATTATAGTGATGAAAAGCTGACTAATACAGTATTATCCTAGGCCTTTCAAGTCTAATTCATAAGCTAATTCTTATAGGTTTTGCTCTAGCCTCAAAATAGTGAGGTGCTGGGTAAGAGGATTGATCACTCTGAGGTTCTCATGCTGCGATGAAGCCCAAAGATGCCATGTGAGAAGGCCTCAGGGAGAGAGAGATGTTGGCCCAGTCCCAGCTGTTCCAGCCTTTAGCCACTGGAGTCATTCCAGCCTAGGTCCCCAACACTGCTGCAGAGATAGGAGTCCCTGCCAAAGTAGCAGATTCATGAGCATTATTATTGCTTTAAGCCACCATTTTGGAGTAGTTTATAATGTTACAATAAACAACCTGGATGTGCAGGATTTTTCCCCCTAAAATTAAAAATATCAGTTTTCGGAATTAAGTAGAACATTTTAAATTGGTGTTGCCTCTTTGTTCTTAAGTCTATTTTAGACATGGCAAAATTGTTTTGCTTGTGAACAATGTATATATAGGTGTAACTTAGTGACTGGCCACGGATGACACTTATGAGCTAATATGTGTGTATGCATGCCAACAGTTGGGGTGGTTTAGCAAAGCGCTGTCTGATCTGCATGAGCTGCACATCCCAGCAAGCTTTGCAAACCACAAGGTGTTGAGCCCCAGCTGGTAGCCATCTGGATGATGATTGAAACCTCTTTCTTTAGCTTTCATAGTTGCTCAGTTTAGGAACACAGACCTGTCATGGCCTAAGACTTGTCTCTGAAGTGTAGAATAATTTACTCAAGACCTTTCAAACAATATATGACCTTCATTGTAATATTATCAAACTTTGGGACGTATGATCAGCCTAGATGAGCTCAAAAAGCATTTTGCTGCTTCAAAAGTACTTCTGCTGCCTTTTCAATTCCTGTTCCTCCTCCTACGAAGTCTGCCTCCCCTTCTCTGAGGTGTGTGTGTGTGTGTGTGTGTGTGTGTGTGTGTGTGTGTGTGTTTGTGTGTGAAATCCTATTTATCCTTCAAACGTTCCCTCTCCCATCAAGGCAGAGTTAATCATTCCTTGATGACATTGCTTCTTCAATCTGTAAAGCCTTTTCTTAAAACCACCAGCTTATCAGAGAAAAAAAAAAAAAAGGCAAGAAGCCAACAGTCCATAGAGCACATGGGAAAAGAACATAAGAGAGTCCCCGCAAGTCTTGGCGACTTTCCACCGGGCTGAAATAGCCTTACGTGATCTGTGTTTCAGGGATTAGAATGTAGCAGAAGAAATAAGTCCATTAAAACACTCAGCCAGAATGCTGTCTGTAGATAAAGTGCTTTGCACTGGGGATACAACAATATAACCTGAAGTGCTGAATTCTAAGGGCAGACTGGGCTGGTGATTTGCATCTCAATCTCTTTGCATTTTATTCATTTTTATTTTCTCAGTACAAGTTAACAAGGAGCTGCCTTAGTCTAGGAAAGACAGGTTCCCCATTTATCACCACATCGGACCCCAAGTTTTCCAACTCGGGGCCTTTGGTTGGACTTGGAATGGCCAATGCCTGTGGTACCAAGTGGATCAATCAGAACACCCAAACCAGCAATTGGTTCGGGATTGTACATTTGCATAGTAACAAGTTCAATCCCAAAGGCTGTACAATCACTTCACGGGCAAATAGCGCTTTGTGGTACATTCCCCAAAACCCATGAGGAATATGTCATAATCAAATACTCCTTATTCCACTACAAAACCAAGAAACTGCATTTCTTACCATTCATTATCTGAGAATCGTATGCAACATGTATAAACAGTCCAAGCCAAAGGCCATATGGTCACTGCATGCTAATGGGTTCTAAGTAACAAAATCCAGAAAACACAATTTACCATTTCCTCCCCATGAGGAACCGAAGGAAGATCATACCAGAAGATCTTACAACAAAACCAAGAGCAAGAATGTTTTGGAGACGCATTCTCAATTTAACGATGCTTAACATGTCATGTTAGAATTGTTATATCGGGGTCCACGTTACAATAGACACTCAAAATACTGGAATCCATTAATGCTCGATATTTCGTCTAGATGCAGCAGAGGGTAAATCTGCTGTCCCTTCTCACTGACTGAGCCCTGGTCTTCCTCCAGAACACATGTCAGTCTCCGGCACTCAGCAGGCAGTGATATTAGTATATTCTAGGGAAGAAGAAACACACTTGGAACTTACTTAACAGTTGGCAATAGAGGGCCTGTAAACTTCTCTTCATGGTATCATCTGGTCCTGCTTATCCTCCAGTTTATTCATGATTCTGTCTAGGAAAATGGGAGAAGAAAATGGTTACATGCAGAGAAAATCATCAATAATCCAAAGCACTCCACGTAATGTGATCCTGGCAGTGAATTCTAATATACCTGTATTTGGAGCAGAAAAAAACCTTGAGATACACCACAGTTTAATTTATGATGGTCCACGTTGTAAAATGACCATTTTACAACATCGATTGGTCAAATCCTGAAACCACGAATTGTCCTGAAGGCATCTCATATGGTGAGACTTAGAGAGAGTATCTGGCTTTGGAACATTAATGAATCTCTCCAGAATCTAGAGGAGAAACTAGAAGTTTCTTTTCTAATCTTGTTCTTGCTACGGTGTGTGTGTGTGTGTGTGTGCATGCGCGCGTGCGCACACACACACACACACACACACACGCATACACACACCTCTCAAATAAAAAAAAGAACAAGAAAGCTTCATCACACTTGAAGTTATATTATCTAAAACAACTTTTTAAAAATTATTTCCTGATCAAAAATACACTTCCGGCATAGGATATTTGCAAAAGACTGAGGAAGGATAGAGTAAATAAGAAATCGGTAGAAAGGAGACATCAAGGAAGGACAAGGAAATAAAAATTTAATAGAGAAATTATGTATGCTTTTCCAGGCCTGTTACTCCCTAAGCCTGTTTCCCTTCCAGGCCCATTACTCCCAAATTCCTAGAAAATCTGTAAATCTACTTGAATATTATTAATTAACACTTCAACAAATAGATTAAGCAAAGAGAGATATGCTATCTTGAGGAACCTCCGGTGCTAGCTATTGATCAGATAGTGATGACATGGGCTTGAGCATCCTGACATTGACCTGGCCACTAGAAATCCTCTTGAGATCACCAGACGGGCATCATTCCTACGTAGTTTCCCATACCCGCCCTTCACGGAGTTTCCTTTAAAAGAGGAGCTGGGAACCCCAAAATGCATCTCTCACTTTCTAGATGGCCCTCATTCTCCCTTGAATGTTGGTCTACTTTCCTAAATAGACCTCTGTCTGTGCCTCCCACAGGTGTGTGCTGAAAATTCTTTTCTGTCAGGTGAGCCAAGGAACCCTCTGGTCCTGATTTGAGTTCCCCCCGTTCTCCTAGGGAACTTCTCAGAGCACCCTTCTCCAGAGACACCTTTTGTCCTGGGACTGTTCTGAGTAACAGAGAATATGGACAAGAATGAACAAGGGAGTACAAATTATCTGTTATCCTGCCCCTAAGAGGCAATGGTTTGCTCTCATTTTGGAGTGCATTTCTCTGGTCTTCTCAATGTGCGCCTCTGTTGGTCCATGTCATTTTCTGATTCCTACTTTATAACTGCAGACATTTTTCTGTGTTGATTCTATTGCTTTACTACTTTATTTTAAATAGAAAATGATGTAGAAATGGAAACACAAGAACACAATTTATGACTTTCAAAATCAATATATTGCCCATTTCTCTGCATCAATACCAGTAATATAGGTTAAACGGATTATACTCTACCAAATGATGGAAATCTATAATTTCTTTTCATCTTGGCCAGTAAATAGGTACATACTCCATCTCATTGCTTTAATTTGCATTGGGAAATTTTAATCATATTCTTTGGTTGTTCTCTACTGACATGCAGGTTTTCTTATGACATCATTAGTAGACCTCATTTATCTTAAAATTTTTTAATTCACTTATCATAAAATTCAACCTTTAAGGTATATAATTCACTGGTTAGTGGTATATTCAAAAGTTATTCAGCCACCTTCAGTCACCACCTAACACAGATCATGTTAGTTACTCTAGACAACCCTGTATTCAGTACTAGTTGTTCCCACTGCCCTTGCAACCATGAATCTAGTGTTTGTCTCTATGCATTTGCCCACTCTGGACAGTTCATGGGAACAGAATCACACAATATGTGATCTCTTGCATCTGGCTCTTTTACTTAGCATAATGGTTTTAAGGTTTATCCATGCTGTTTTTTTAAATGATTTTAATAAGAATGTTTCCACCTTGGTTAGAAAGACCTTCCTCAATCAGAGATTACATAAATACTTGCCTGTGTTTTCTTCTGGAGTTATTTCACTTATTACATTCTCAGTAATTTCCTATTATTAAACCTGTTTGTAGATTTTGTGGTTTTTTTTCCCTCTGCTTGCTCATTCTTCCACTAGAAAAGTGTTAATATTAAACCCAGAGTTAGTCCTCTATTATACCTCTTCCTTTTAAGATTCATCTTGTTCTTTGAGTTTATTTTTTTCCTTTAAAATTAACTTCAAGATCATTTTATTGAATTTCAGGGGAAAAAAATCATTGGCATTTTGGTTCAAATTATCTTCTGTTTGCTTGGGAGAGATTTGAATTCTTCAAAATACAAACGTGATAAGCAGAAAATTAAATATTTTAAAACGTGTTGCTCTGGAGATGAGAAAACAATTTTTTTCCAGGGTGTGAGAAGTGTTTTTATATTTTTTTCCCTAAGGGAAGGGAACACAATAGCTCATGACTTCTTTGGTTACATAAATTAATACCACCCTGGCCCCCATCTATATGAGTAAGGATGAGAGAGACAGCTAAATTGCTTTTAGCTATGAAATAACAGGAAGAGTTGAGTTTCCAAAGGCTTATGCTAGGAAAGAGTTTAGACGTGGTATCCCCCAAAATGTCATGTGTGAGACAATGCTAGAAGGTTTGGAGTGAATTAATTCCTGATGGGATTAATTGAGTGGTAACTGGCTGGAGGAGGAGGGGCATTGGAGGCAGGGCTTTGGGGTATATATTTGTATCCGTGAGTATAGTTGTTCTCTCTGCTTTCTGATCATCATGTGAGCTACTTCCCTCAGCCACACTCTTCTGCCACGATGTTCAGTCTCACCTTGAGCCCCAAGGAAGGGAGCCTGCTGTCTATGGATTGAGACCTCTGAACCTGTGATCCTCCAAATAACCTTTTCCTCCTCTAAAGTTGTTCTGGTTGGGTCTTTTAGTCACAGCAGTGAAACAGCTGACTAAAATAGGGGCCAAAGGGTATAGAAATCACAGGGGCTGACATGATGAATAGGAGATGTCTGAGTGATGGGGAGAGGGAATTCCAAAAGATGGCAGCAGGTGAGACCCAAACACAAAGCATTAAGTGAGAAGCTTCCCACAGGGTGTGACCTGTGAACTTTAATTTCTAGTTGATTCTTGATTTATGCTATTTGTACATAGATGCTATATCAGTATGCCTTCCCTCCCACGATATTCACCCACCTCTAGTATCCTTCAAACCTCAGAAAAGTCTTGCACAAAATAGCTGTGTATAGGTGATTGACAGGGCAATGTCCCAAGGCAAGACAAGGATCTCTTAGAGGCAGCAGCCCAACAGTCATAAGCAATGGCCAGTGGGTAACAACAAGAGTGCTTAGGACATGGTTAGCACTCGATAAATGTACATAAAAATAAACAGTGAGTGAATTAATAAATGGATAATCAAGTAACAGGAGAACAAAAAAATATAATTGTGGTTTATTTTGATCAATAATCTCCAAAAAAGTATTGGAGATTTTTGAAAAAGTGATAGACTTTTAACAACGCATGGAATATAGTCATTTTATTCAGCTACCAAAGAAAAAATGTAGCCTGTAGATCTGAGAGACACAGGATCATCTGGGTTACACTAGGCTATTTCAATTAGAAGCACCATATGGCCTACTGTGTATTCAAAATTCATCTTTATTTAGGTCCTTCTGTGGAGTTTTGTACTTTTGTAGTGGTTTGCCTTTATTTAAGTTCCACAGTCTTATTAAGTTAATTCCTAGGCATTTTATGTTTGTTTTTTTTGCTACTGTGATAGAATGTGTTTTCATTACATTTTCTAATTTCCTCCATGTGAAAACAACTGAGTTCTTTTTATTCATTTTGTGACCTGACTGAACTCACTCACTGTTCTAATGATGCTTTCTTCACGGAGTCTCTTGGGTCAATTGTGTTGTTTTGGATAGATGGTGAGCCACAATTAGATTACATCAAAAGCCTCTTTTTAACCATAGAGTAGTAAACATTAATTGCATCAGTATGGTCCCTCAGGAAATAATTTAAATGCTCTAAGAAAAACAACTAATTTCTGAAATGAAATCCTAAGAAAATAAAGAGCTTTGCAGCCAAAAGGATGGAGTAAAGGCAAAGCAACCTACACTCACAGACCCAGACTCCAGGTCCACACCTCTGCAGTCAAAATCACAGGTCCACCCCAGTGGTTCCAGAATCAAGGCCCACTTGGACCTAGGAACCAAGACCACCCACCTCCTGGACCAGGCACGAGGCCAGGATGCTCAAGAATTTCAGCAGCTAGCCTTCCCACAGAGAGGATGGCCTGCCCAGAATCTCTAGACGGGCTGGTGAAGGGGTTTCCCAAACAAAGTCAGTCTTCAAAAACTGGAATAAGCTCTTGTTTATGCAAACATGCAGACACCAATGCACAGTCACAATGGTCAAGAACAAGGGAACATGACACCACCAAAGGAACAAAATAAAGCACCAGTAACTGAGCCTAAAGAAATGCAGACTTATTAACCACCTAACCAAGAATTCAAATGATTATTTTCAGGAAGCTTGATGAACTTTAAGAAAATTCAGAGTAATAACTCAATGAAATCAGGAAAATAATAACTTATGATAATGAGAACTTAATATAATGAAATTATAAAAACAAAATACATTTTGGCCTCCAAATATAACAAATGAAATAAAAACAAATGCAACAGCAAGTGTCAATAGTAGAATTGATCGAGCAGGAGAAAAAAAAATATATTGAGTATTTGAAAATACATGGTAGGGGGAAGGAAAAGGAATGAAAAGAAGAAATCTTAAAAAAAAATAAAAAAAGAAGAAATCTTATGGAATTTATGGGGAAGCAAAAAGAAAGCAAATACTCAAATTACAAGGACTAAAAAAGGAGAATGAGATACAAAGGAAGAGAAAACTTAAAGAAGTAATAGAAACATTTCCAAATCTTGGGAAGATATAAGTAGTGCAGGAA